AACTACCCCGGTGAGTGGGAACAAGGGCGGGGGTGTTTTCACCTCCAACCTGCCGCTTTTTGGCATCGATCCAACCTCTCGGGGGGTGGGGGGTTTTTTTTTCCAGCCACTTTCTGGATCAACCCTCAGTTTAAGATCCAGCTGGAGGAGGTGGATGATGACGGGGATGAGGGCGGCGGGCGCGAGCCCGGCTGCAGTTTCCTGCTGGCGCTGATGCAGAAGCACCGGCGCCGTGAGCGCCGCTACGGGAAGGACATGGAGACCATTGGGTTCGCTGTCTATGAGGTACCAGTGTCACCCAACTCCTGTCACCCAGTGTCACCCAACTCCTGTCACCCGGTGTCACCCGGTGCCACCGTCTCACCTCTCCTCTCCCTACAGGTTCCACCAGAGGTGGGTACAACTCGCCAGCGGTCACAGCATCACCGCAACGACGCCGTGACCCAGAGGGTGTTTTGGGGGTGAATTTGTGTGGTTTTCTTGATTTATCCACCCCCCAAATTCCTGGCAGCACGTGGGGAAGTCGGGGGTCCACCTGAAGAGGGATTTCTTCCTGGCCAACGCCTCGCGTGCCCGCTCGGAGCAGTTCATCAACCTGAGGGAGGTCAGCACGAGGTTCCGGCTGCCACCGGGCGAGTACATCGTGGTACCTTCCACCTTCGAGCCCAACAAGGAAGGGGACTTTGTTCTCCGTGTCTTCTCTGAGAAAAAAGCTGGCACTGAGTAAGAGGCGCCTTCGTTAGTGCTAACGAGCCCCCCCCCCCCCCCCCCATGGCCACCCAAACTCTCCCTCTCTTTCCTGGGAGGGTGGTGAGATCCTGGCACAGGTTTCCCAAGGAGCTTGTGGGTTCCCCCTCCTTGGAGATGTTCCAAGACTGGGTTGGATGGGGTTTTGGAGCAACCTGATGGAGTGGGAGGTGTCCCTGCCCGTGCAGGGGAGGGTTGGAACTGCATGATCCTCAATTTCCAACCCAAACCATTCCATGGCTCTTCTCTCCCCAGGGAGATGGATGACAGGATCCAGGCCACGCTGCCCGATGAGGTGGGACCGGTGGGCGTTGAGATGGTTGGTTGGGGTCTTTTTTTAACACCACCTTTTAATCAAACCAGCCCTTTTTCCCCTCAGAAAGTGCTCTCTGAAAGCCAAATCGATGAGAACTTCAAGCAGCTCTTCAAGCAGCTGGCGGGGCCGGTAAGGGGGGGACAAGGAGGGGGGACACACAGAAAGTGGCACCAACTGGGACTTGCCCCAGAACCCCCCCCTGCCCCCCAAAAACCTCCTCCTGCCCCCCCTAGGACATGGAGATCAGCGTCGCGGAGCTCCAGACCATCCTCAACAGGATCATTGGGAAACGTGAGTCACCACTGGGTGGGGTTCTTCTTTTTCGGGTGGGGGGGGAGGGGCACCACC